TACTACTACTACTGCTACTACTAGTGGTACGACTACTACTACTACTACTACTACTACTATTACTACTACTATCACTACTACCATCACTACTACTACTACTACTACTACTACTACTACTACTACTACTACTACTACTACTACTACTATTACTACGACTACGACTACGACTACGACTACGACTACTACTACGAGTAACACTTTTATAGGGTTTCTATGGGTTCTCTGTGGGGATTTTTAGGAACCGTGCAGGCCCTGCAGTGTCTCTACAGGTTCTCTATAGGGTTTCTTTGTGGACGAGGCGGTTACAGCGAACGCACGGGACGCGTCCCTCAGAACCGCCTTGACCTTGTTGTTGTTGTTGTTGTTGTTGTTGTTGGTTTGTGTTGTTGTTGCTGTTGTTGTTGTCGTTTGTTTGTCTGTTGTGTGTTGTGTATTGCTGGTTCTTTGTATGTATAGTTGATTGCTTGTTGTGTGCTGTGTATTGTGTGTTGTTTGTTTGTTTGTTTGTTTGTTTGTTTGTTGTTCTTGTTGTTGTTGATGATGATGTTGTTGTTATTGCTGTTGAACTCTCACTCCTGAAGAATAATTATTGTTGATCCCCCCCACCGGTGCATACCGTTTTTCCCAATCAAAGTGTGCCCCTCGACGCTCGCACGTTGTTCTTTGTCAAGGAAAATCTCCCTGCTCAAACAGGGCCCGTGGCCCCCAGGTTACAACAACAACGGCTCTTGCGTGAGACTTCCTTACAATTTAGGCAGGACCCCCACTCCCGCCCGAGACATCCTCGCATTTTATTCAGGAATCGCGCTCTCGCTTGGGACTTCCTTCTAATTTATTCAGGAACCGTTCTCCCGGAGCTCCAGAGTCGCGCTCTCGCTGGAGACTTGCAACTTACTGAAGAATGACCTTGCGTTTGATTTTCCTGCAATTTGCCCAAGCGCCGCGCTCCCGACACCCAGGCACCCAGGAGTCGCGCCCGTTGTGGCCCCATGTGCATGCCCTTCGTGGCCCCGCTGTCGCCACTTGTGTCCCCCTCATTGTCCTACGTGGCCCAGTTGCTACCTTCAGTGGCCCCATAGCTGCCTTCTGTGGCCCCGCATTATATGCACTTCGTGGCCCCCGCTCGTTCGCGCTCTTCGTGGCCCCATACACATTCCCTTCGTGTCCCCGCTGTCGCCGCTCGTGGCCTACTTCGTGCCCTTCGTGGCCCTGCTGTCGTTCGCTCTCGCTCTCGCTTTCGCTCGTCGTCGCCGTCGTCGTCGTCGTCGTCGTCGTCTTCGACGTCGTCGTCGTCGTCGTGGTCGGTCCCCTGTCCGTCCCTCTTGGGGTCGGGTCGACGGTGCGCGGCCGCCCCGCCGATCAGCGCTGCCGCTGGCCAGGCCGACGGTCCGCGGCCGCCCCGCCGCTTGCCGGGGCCCGGCCCGCAGGGAAGAAAAGGTATACCCCCCACAAGAGGTTCGATCGAAGACGAAAGGGCGAGTATTGAGGGTTTGGGAAATACGCGTTGTTGGACACTCGAGCAGATAAGGGCGAGCAGTCTTAAAATTAGTGATGTTGTTGTTGTTGCTGCTGCTGCTGTTGTTGCTGTTGTTGTTGTTGTTGTTGTTGTTGTTGTTGTTGTTGTTGGTGTTGGTGTTGGTGTTGTTGGTGTTGTTGTTGTTGTTGTTGTTGTTGTTGTTGTTGAGTTCTCACTTCTGAAGAATAATTATTGTTGATCCCCCCCACCGGTGCATACTGCTTTTTCCCATCAAAGTGTGCCCCTCGACGCTCGCACGTTGTTTTTTGTCAAGGAAATCTCCCTGCTCAAACAGGGCCCGTGGCCCCCAGGTTACAACAACAACGGTTCTTGCGTGAGACTTCCTTACAATTTAGGCAGGACCCCCACTCCCGCCCGAGACATCCTCGCATTTTATTCAGGAATCGTTCTCCCGGAGCTCTGGAGTCGCGCTCTCGCTGGAGACTGGCTTGCAACTTACTGAAAAGCCTTGCGTTTGATTTTCCTGCAATTTGCCCAAGCGCCGCGCTCCCGACACCCAGGCACCCAGGAGTCGCGCCCGTTGTGGCCCCATGTGCGTGCCCTTCGTGGCCCCGGTGTCTGTCGCCACTTATGTCCCCCTCATTGTCTTACGTGGCCCAGTTGCTACCCTCAGTGGCCCCATAGTTGCCTTCTGTGGCCCCGCATTATCTGCACTTCGTGGCCTCCGCTCGTTCGCGCTCTTCGTGGCCCCATACGCATTCCCTTCGTGTTCCCGCTGTCGCCCTTCGTGGCCTACTTCGTGCCCTTCGTGGTCCTGCTGTCGTTCGCTCTCGCTCTCGCTTTCGCTCGTCGTCGCCGTCGTCGCCATCGTCTTCGACGTCGTCGTCGTCGTCGTCGTCGTGGTCGGTCCCCTGTCCGTCCTCTTGGGGTCGGGTCGACGGTCCGCGGCTGCCCCGCCGATCAGCGCTGCCGCTGGCCAGGCCGACGGTCCGCGGCCGCCCCGCCGCTTGCCGGGGCCCGGCCTGCAGGGAAGAAAGGTATACCCCCCAGAGGTTCGATCGAAGACGAAGAGGGCGGGTATCGAGGGTTTGGGAAACACGCGTTATTGGACACTCGAGCATATATGGGCGAACAGTCTTAAAATGATTGTTGTTGTTGGTGTTGTTAGTTGTTAGTTGTTAGCTGTTAGCTGTTAGTTGTTAGTTGTTAGTTGTTAGTTGTTGTGTGTTGTGTGTTGTGTGTTGTGTGTTGTTGTTTGTTGGTGTTGATGTTGTTGGTGGTGTTGCGGTTGTTGTTGTTATTATTGTGTGTTGTTTGTTGTTTGTTGTTTTTGGTTGTTTGCGTCGTCTCCGCCGCGACCCACCCGCGAGCCACCCGCGACCAACCCCGCCACCCACCCACGACCCACCCGCGACCAACCCCGCGACCCGCCCGCGACCCTGCGACCCACCCGCGACCCACCCGCGACCCAGCCGGCGACCCACCCGCGACCCACCCGCGACCCACCCAGCGACCCACCCACATCGTTTGATGGAAAAATCGACGCCTGCGGCGGGCTCACTGCACAATGTGTTAAAACAGATTGGCGCCAGCGGCGGGCTTCTTCAGAGCGCAGACTGCCGCCGCCGCCTCCGCCGCCCCCTCACCCTTCTCCGCAACTGCGGGGCGTTACGTATTGAGCATTATTTATCAAAGCGCATTCTTCGTGGGGTTGGCAGCCTCCCCGTCGAAGCCCTCGTTGCACTTGCATTTACTTGAAATGGATCAGGTTGGGTGGGCAGTGCGGTTGCGGCATTGATGCCATGATTTTCTATTCTAGACGCTTCGCGTCCACCAGCTGCCGGGTCGCTCGCTTCGCTTGCTTTTTTTCTTCATGCTGCCTAGTCGAGGCCCGACTAGTGTTTGGACGGTTTTCGACACGCCTCACGAGTCTCTTTGACCAAAACGTAACCCCCAGCCCATCCAGAAACGATGCCAAGACGAGTTGCAATGATCAGGGATGTGGAGGAGCATGCAGTGGAATAAAGGGCTGTGTAAGGCTGAGCTGGAGGAGGAGGAGGAGGAGGAGGCGGAGGCGGAGGCGGCGGAGGAGGAGCAGGAGGAGCAGGAGGAGGAGGAGGAGGAAGAGCAGGAGGAGGAGCAGGAGGAGGAGCAGGAGGAGGAGCAGGAGGAGGAGGAGGAGGAGGAGATCTTCTGGGATAGGCAACGAATCTTTCATGCCTTCAGTGTGCGTGCGTGCGTGCGAGGAGGAGGAGGAAGAGAAGGAGAAGGAGAAGGAGGAGGAGCAGGAGGAGGAGCAGGAGGAGGAGCAGGAGGAGGAGGAGGAGGGAGGAGGAACGAAGAGGAGTAGGCGGAGGAGGGCGAGCAGAAAAGCCAGAGGTCTCTTGGATGCCTCTCGGAGTCTCTTCGGATGTCTTTCTAGAGTTCCTTGGAGTCCAGTTTGGGGCGTCTTGGTGATCACTTGGCAGTCCTGAGGGCCTCTTGGGGCGTCTTGGATGCTTCTGGGGGGTCTCTTTGGGGCCTCTTGGGAGTATCTTGGGGGCATCTTGGTGGCCTCCTGGGGGCCTCTTGGGGCCTCCTGGGCACCTCTTGGGGCCGTCTTGGGGCACCACTGCGAGCCTCGGGGGCCGTCCCGGGGCCATCTGGGAGGAGATTGATCAAAGCAGGGGGAGGTTCCGAGTAGGGTCCACCCCAAGGATGCCGACATGTGGCCAACACCTCAACACAATCGATGTTTTGGTCTTCTCGCCGAGGCGTTGTCGGACGCTCTGGCACCTCGCGAGACGCCTCGTCCAGGTCCAGGGGTAGGGGTCGGGGGAGAGGTAAACCCCTCGCCTAAGGGGAAGAAGGCGGGTTGGAAGACGAAACTCCTTGAGGCACTCATGATGTCCTAAAGGGCTGGTGGGATTCAATGAGGCAGCCCTTGGGTTCAGGAGACTTGCTGATTGTTGTCTTACCGTGTAGACCTCTTGACCCCGAACCTCCTCGCCGTGTCTCTTCCTGCTGCCGCCAGCGCCGCTGTCTTTCGCCCCGTTGTTGAGTATACCTGGGCAGCAGTGTGTCCATGGCACGTTGCACCTGGAGTCTAAGGCATCGTTGCCTGCAGGCGGTGCCCAGGGAGAGCAAATCGGCGGATGCTATGTACCCTAGCTCGCCTCAACCACTTCTGCCACCTCCCCTCTTGTCCTCGTTCTCGCGTCCTACCCTTGGCACTCCTCCTCCTCCTCCTCCTCCTCCTCCTCTTCCTCCTCCTCCTCCTCCTCCTCCTCCTCCTCCTCCTCCTCCTCCTCCTCCCCGTCCTCGCGTCCTCGCGTCCTCCTCCCCTCGGAGCTCGTCCTCGCGTCCTCCTTCCCTCCCGTCCTCCTCCTCCTCTCCTCTCGTCTTCGTTCTACCCTTGGAGCTCTTCTCGTCCTCGCCCTCCCCCCCCTCCGAGGCGCCGGACGAGGACCCGCTGGCGAAGCGGCTGCTGTTCGCGGTGGCAGGGGCGGGGAGCGCCCATTGACCACCTCCGCCTCCTTCTCCTCCTCCTACCTTCGCCTCCCCTCCTCCTCCTCCTCCTCCTCCTCCTCCTCATCCCTCCTCCTCCTCCTCCTCCTCCTCCTCCTACCTCCTCCTCCCTCCCCCCTCCTCCTCGCTCCCCTCCTCCTCCTCCTCCTCCTCCTACTGCTCCTCCTCCTCCTCCTCCTCCTCCTCCTCCTCCTCCCCCTCCTCCTTTCTCCTCCTCCTCCTCCTCCTCCTCCTTCTCCTCCCTCCTCCTTTCTCCTCCTCCTCCTCCCCCTCCTCCTCCTCCTCCTCCTCCTCCCTCCTCCTTCCCCCGCTTCCTCCTCCTCCTCCTCCCCCTCCTCCTTCCCTTCCTCCTCCTCCTCTTCCTCCTCCTCCTCCTCCTGCCCCGCCCCCTCTCCATTTCCCTCTTCCTCGGGGAGGTGGGGCGTGGGGGAGTCGCACCCGCGAGGAGGGAGGAGAGAGCAGAAGAAGAGGAAACCAGCAGGAGGAGGAGGAGGAGGAGGAAGGAGGAGGAGGAGGGTCCGCTGCCACCTCCTTGTCGAACTGGCAGAGCCCACCGTCTTGGGCAGCGGTGCGCCCCTCAGGGTTCCTGGGGTGCTTCTCGCGCGCGTGCTGCATGGCCTCGTGTGTTCCTCCAGGCTCTGCTCGTCTTGTGTGTTCGCTTTCTGCACGGGGCGCGCACCATCAGCTTGACGCACGCAGTACCCGTGGCTCGGACCGTTTGCACATGCGGCTCGTTCGAGCGCCTCGCGCGAGTGAGAAAACCGTGCAGGCAGCTGCTCCTTCCCGCGCACGCCCTCGTGATGTGGACCTCCTCCTCCCCGGCCCGCGATGGAGATTGCAGGCCTTGGTGCTGGTGCATCCTCCTCCTCCCTCCTTCCTTCTCCCTCCCTCCTTCCTTCTCCATCCCTCCTCCCTCCTCCCTCCTCCTCCATCCTCCCTCCTTCCTCCCCCTCCTCCTCATCCATAGCCTACAGTGGGGGCGCGCATCAAGAAACCATGTGCTTTTCGTCATGGTATCCTGGGTTTCTTCGCTCCGCCCGCTGCGCGGTGACTTCCCGCAGCCGTGGAAGAAGCTGCTGCGCTCAGGGCGCTCCCGGATTCCCCTCAAGCGCACCTCGCGCGCGGGTTTTCAGGGTTGGGTTTCTTGCGAGGGTTTCTTGCGGCCGCGCCCTCACTGTAGTGGTGGAGTCCTGTGCTCCAAGAAGGTTATTCAGGAATCGCGCGCTGCGCACAGTCTCATCCTGGCCCTCTCATGCGAGGACAAGCAATTCACCCACATATGCATTTGTGGTGGCCGCCCTCTGCAAGCACCGCGCGCCAGGGAGGGGCTGTCCGGCGCAGACCCAGGAGGTGCGCGCGGACGGCCGAGCGATTATGGTCGTCTGAGCAGTGCTGTTGGGATTGTTCCTGCAGATCTTGGAAGGCTGCTGCTGCGTCAGCTTTTGGTCCCCTCACGCTTGGCGCAGGAGGAGGAGGAGGAGGAGGAGGAGGAGGAGGAGGAAGAAGAGGAGGAAGAAGAGGGCGGAGGAGGAGGAGGAGGACGAGGAGGAGGAGGAGGAGGAGGAGGAGGAGGATGGAGGAGGGAGGAAGAGGAGGCGCACGCAGCTCGGTGTCCAAGTCCTCGCCGCGCACCAGTGGGCGCCGAGGGGTGCGCCCGGCGCCCACCCTGCAGGATGGCACCGTCGGCAGGGCAGGGCCGGGCCCCTCGTTCCAAGGGCCACTCGTCCCCATACTCTCAGGAGGAAAAAGAAACACACAGACACAATTAATCGTCGAGTCCCAGGAACATATGGGAAAATATGGGAAGTGGGGGGGGAGACAAAAATCCAGAAAATATGAGAAAATATGGGGAATCATTTTATTTGTGTGTATTTATTTGTGTGTCCCTGGGCCCCTTCATACTCAGGCAGTCGCGCAGCGTCCTGGCTGGCCTATACGCCCACAAAACAAATGTTCTAAGAGCCTTTTGTGGTTTGCGCGGCATGCTGTTCGAACACTTCTGGCCGAGTCTCTGTCTTATTTTAGCACATCGGGTTTCTGTGCTCAGAGCACGGCTTTTGTTCTTAGAGCATTGTTTTGTTCTAAGAGCATCTCGTGGTAGGCCCGCAGAAATGCTGGGACGGTCGTTCCCTGCTCGACAGACGGGTTGGGATTGTCACTTCCCTCCGCAGGTCGCGGGATTGCTGCCGCATCCCTCCTGCCTGCTCCCACCCCCCGCGGCACTGGAGCGGCAAGCCGGCCTGCGGAGGAGCGGGGGGGGCGTTTGGAGGGGGGGATGCAGGAAGAGGAGGAGGAGGAGGAGGAGGCGGATGGAGGAGGAGGAGGAGGAGGTCCTTCTCCTCCTCCTCCTCCTCCTCCCCCTCCTCCTCCTCCTCCTCGGGCATCCCTCCTCCTTCTCCTCTGGCATCCCCTCCTCCTCCTCCTCCTCCTCCTCCTGCTCCTGCTCCTGCTCCGAGAGAGAGAGAGAGAGAGAACAAAAAAAAACAAGGGTGGCGGAGCGGCTTGGGATCCTCTCAACAGGCCCCCCTTCGTTGCGAGCGGGCGGGGAGGCGAGGGCCCCCGCGGCTCTCCCCCATGCCTCCCCCCTCCGCGCGCCCAGGTGATGCGGGCCCTGTTCCTGCCAGGCTTCACCGTCCACGCCGGCGCGCTCTCCGCGCCAGGTGCCCGCTGCTGCCCGGGGCCCCGCGGCCCTTGCGCCCCGCCCCGGAGGAGGAGGAGGAGGAGGAGGAGGAGGAGGAGGAGGAGGAGGAGGCGGAGGAGGAGGCGGAGGCGGAGGAGGAGGAGGAGGAGGAGGAGGAGGAGGAGGAGGAGGAGGAGGAGGAGGAGATAAGGGTCCCCGCCCTGCCCCGTCCGCGGCCCTCCCGCCCTCCGCCGTCCCCGCCCCCGCCGCCCCCGACATTCCGCTGTAACAGTTCCCGCCCCTCCTCCCTGATGGCCTCTCCCGCGCCTTCCCCCCTCCGCCTCCCCCCCGCCTCCAGTCTCCCGCCTCCCGCCCCAGCTACCCCCCCCCCTACTGGCGCCTCGCGCCGCGCCTTGTCGCCGCCGTCCTCGCCAGGTTCTTCGGCCGCGTCTCGCCCTGGCTCCCTCTATCCCCCCGTCCCTCGTCCTACTCCCCCGCTCCTCAGGAGGTCGACGGGAGTGGGGGGGCGAGTTTTGGGAGGAGAGGAGGCTTGAGCCAGCAGGCACCGCGAGCGTCTCCAGGTGCAGGTACCGTCTGTTGATGGCCAGACAGGGCGATCTTTAACACATACACGGTCGGCTCTCTGCTTGGCACGAGTGGCTGGGCTGGGCTTGGCTTGCCGGGCAGCTTCCGGGGCGACGCGCGATTTCTGTAGCTCGTCGGGGCCAGGCATGGATAGGCGTTGGGCGGTCGGGGGGACGAGAGGAAATGAAGAGGAGTAGCGTAGCGTAGCAGCAGCAGCAGCAGCAGCAGCAGCAGCAGCAGCAGCAGCAGCAGCAGCAGCAGCAGCAGCAGCAGGATCAGGAGGAACAGCAGCAGCAGCAGCAGCAGCAGCAGCAGCAGCAGCAGGTGTAGATGATTATGTTGGAGAAGGTGGCTGCGTTGGCAGTCGAGAGTCGAGAAGGAGGAGGAGGAGGACGAGGAGGAGGAGGAACATGAGGGGAGGAAAGGAGGCGGATGAGGAGGAGGAGGGGGGGAGGAGGAGGTAGGAGGAGGAGGATGGGGGAGGATAGGAGGAGGAGGGAGGAAGGAGGAGGAGGATGAGGAGGGAGTGAAGGAGGAGGAGGAGGAGCCGGCTGAAGGGCGGCGATGAGGCGGCGAGAGGCCCAGCCGCACGAGGGCAGGCGGCGGAGGCGCGGCCAGAGGAGGCCGTGCCCACCGCCCGGAGAGCGGCGCGCCCCACGGCCCCGCGCCGCTCTGCCGCCCGGGCCTCGCTGCCCCTCGGGCGGGGCGCGCCTCGGCCCGGGGCGCCCCTCGCCTCCAGAAGGGGCCCCCCCGCCTCTGGCCTGCACGGGCCTGTCCTCCTCCTCCCTCTCCCCCCCTCCTACCTCCTCCTCCTCCTCCTCCTCCTCCTCCTCCTCCTCCTCCTCCCCTCCCCCTCCTCCCTGCCTCCTCCTTCCCCCTCCCCCTCCTCCCCACCCCCTCCCCCTCCTCCCCCTCCCCTCCTCCTCCTCCTCCTCCTCTCTCCTCCTCCTCCTCCTCCTCCTCCTCCTCCACCAGCCTGACGGCAGCGAGCCGAGCGCTGCCCCTGGCCTCTCGCGCCTCTCCCATGTTCAGGAGTGAAGGAAACACACACAGACAGAATGAATCGTCGACTCCCAGGAAAATATGGGAAGATATGGGAAGTGGGGGGGGAAGTGGAGGCTCGCTTTCAGTCGGGCCCGTCCCTCTACAGGAGGAATATCCCTCTACAGGAGGAATAGTCTGGGGACTATTTTTCTTTGTATGTTTTGACCCATTTGGCGCATGTTCTGCATATGTTCCATGTTTCGTCGAAGATCCCCCTGTAGGGGGCACGCCCGACTTAAGACTCGCTGCCCCCGGCCTCTCGCACCTCTCGCCCTGGCCTCTCGCTGTCCCTGGCCCATGGCCTGCCGTGGAGGCATGTGGATCGGGGGATCCACACGCCTCCATAGCGACTGCCTCCTTCCCCAGGCATGGTCGCGTCGTGAGGACGTCAGGGCGGCAAGTGTTTTTCGCTATTTTCGGCCCCTGGGGGCCCTCGACGGGCCCCGGGGCCGTCAGCCAAACGACTCAACATGAAAACTCGGCCCCCTGGAAAGGGTCTGGACTTCGGGGACGCCGTTTAAAAGCAAATCAGGACGTCGCATGTCTGGGCCACGATCTCTCGTAGGAGTCGGTCGTGCTGGGGCCGAGGAAGAGGCGGAGAAGCCAAGGGCGACCCCCCCCCCCCGCAGGGTTCACGCTGACGCCGCCCGAGGAGGACGCAGCTGTGGCGCGCTCGCCCCTCCCGCATACTCCTCGCCTCCCCCTGCTCCGCAGTTACACAATGTCCTCCTCCTCCTCCTCCTCCTCCTCCTCCTCCTCCTCCTCCTCCTCCTCCTCTTTCCTCCTCCTCCTCCTCCTCCGCCTCCTCCTTATCCGCCTCATCCGCCTCCTCCTCCTATGTGAATGCTATTCTCCTCTGTCCCCTGATGACGTCCGGAAGATATCCGGCCTCCCACCCTCCCGCGTACTATATTTTTGCACACAGGATTCCCTGGAACTGGGTTTCGCTTTTTAGTTTTTTTCAACATGTTGCTCCCGCTGCAGCGCTGGCCCCTCATTTTTGGCCTTCCGCTCGTTCCGAATCGTGCTCCCGCTGCAGCGCTGGCCTCATTTCCGCGCTTCCGTTCGTTCCGAATCGTGCTCCCGCTGCAGCGCTGGCCTCATTTCCTGGTTTTCGTAGGTGTTTTTGGAAATCCGATTCTTTTCGGTGCTTCAAGATGTTGCTCCCGCTGCAGCTCTGGCCCCATTTCTGCACCTTTGGTTGTTCCAAAACGCGCTCCCGCTGCAGCGCGGGCGTTTGCGGTCCTTCCAAAAAGGCCCCAATTTTAGAACATCCCCCCCCCCCAAAAAAAAACATTGCAAGTGATTGCACATCTGGTGCCGATTCGTTAAGTTTTTGGCCTGCAGAATCCCCCCTCACTTCGGGGCAGCGGCGTTTGGACGAAGTATCAAGCGAGAGCCCCGTTTCTGTTTTCAGATAGCGATGTTGCGAGCAGAGCCAGCGGGTGCTCTCCATTAGCCCCGCCTTGTAGGGAGCTTTTCGCGGAGCCCAGGGAGCTAAACATGGAGCCGCGACTCCAGACTGGCCCATATCCTTCGAAGACTATCAACTTACCCTCCAAGGAACCCGGTACCCTGGCATGACATGTGCGGTGTTCTGTTCTGCGCCGCTGTGCGATGCCATGTTTTGCGTTGCAGCGTTTTGGGATGCAATGCTTCACTATGCAATGCAACGCCCTGCTATGACATTATACGCTCTGCCGTGCTCTTCCACGCCATGCCGTGCCGCGCTCTACGATGCATCGCGCACCCTCTCGCGCCATACGCTCACTGCTTTGCTCGACATCCGATTGTGCGAATAGATCTACGCCGCGGTAAGGGATGGGAGGGCGGGGTAGGACGTCAGATACGACGCGAGCGCACCTAGTTTGCACTCCTCCCCCTCTTCCTCCTGCCTCCTGCGCTCTTGACAGGCCCTCCCTCCCCCTCCCCCCCACACATGCGGTGTGCAGATGGTTTCCACACGCGGTCCCCCTCCCCCTCCCCCTCCCCTCCCCCTCCGCCTCCGCCTCCGCCTCCGCCTCCTCCTCCTCCTCCTCCTCCTCCT